TAGTGTTTCCTGCTTTGCTCTGACAGTTGCAGTGAAGGTGTCCTTTGTGGTTGTGTCCTTCAGTAATTGAGTGTTGAACTTGCATTGTGGCCTATCCCCAGCTATCCTCGAGGCTTTTAGCTTCACCTTGAAAGTCACTTCTACTAGATAGTGGTCTGAACCCACATCTGTTCCTCTTCTCGACCTTGTGTCCAGTAGGCTCCGTCTCCTCTTCCTTGAGATTGAAATGAATTCTGTCTGGTTTTTGGTGTTTCCATCTGGTGAAATCCATGTCGCCTTGTGTATGAACACACTGACACCAATCACCAAATCATTGAAGGCGCGGAAGTCTGAGAAGAGTTCACCATTGTCGTTCATTTCATCGAGATCCTCGCGACCCATGGTGAGTTCTCTTCCTGTGTTGTCTCGTCCCAGCTTCGCATTCATGTCGCCCATCAGGATTTTGATATCGCCATTTGGGACGTTGTCCATTACTGTTTGTAGTTGTCTGTTGAACACCTCCTTCTTCTCTTGTTCTGAGACGTTTGTAGGCGCATAGCATTGAATGACTGTAACTTTACTTCCTTCCTTTTGAGTTGAACCTGGCTGTCATTATCCTGGAGGAGATTGGTTCCCACTGCATGAGAGCTTTGGTTGCTGTTGGTGACATCATGATGGCCACTCCCTCGGTGTGCTCATGGTTGTCCTCTAGGTGGCCGGAATAGATTACTGTCTCTCCAGTAGGTAGTTGGCACCTTCCAGTTCCGTTCCATCTGCTCTCGCAGATTCCCAACACTTCTATTCTATGTCTTCTCATTTCAGCGGCTATCTGGGTAGCCTTTCCAGTTTCGTACATTGTACGAACTTTCCACGTCCCCATCCTTATTTTTGCTTTCATCGGAAGAAGGCACATCGGCTGACTGGCTTCCCGAAGGCTTTAGCCAACCTGCGTTATTTCACTTTCCCGATTTCAGCGAAAAATAAGGTTATTGTTTATATTTTTAGTATTTTGAATATATCTATGCGTTGAAGTTTCTGTAGCGATTTGGTTAAGTTTTGGGGGTGGAGTTGCTAGCACCGCGCCTTAACCATCTCTCTTTATCCGGGCTTGGGACCGTCTAGGAAGCTAGTAATCTAGGCGAGGTTTTATCACAATTTAAGATGGGAATATACAGCTGCATCACTCTCGTGAAATTTATACTTTTATTCATCATTCTTATTCTGTTTATTGTATATTTCATAATCCACTGAAGTACTTTTAGGCATTGAAGGCCGAATCCATGGATTACGAAAAATTTTGTTTATTGGGAACAACACTTTCTGGTCAATCGCATTACTTCGCAAAATATAGAACTAAGACATATTAGTTGTGATATACTGAGCCACACATTTTAGGAAATATTATAGAATGCCTTATTCCAGTTCTGTACGATGTCGTTTTGTAGAAATTGATGAGTCACTGAATTATCAAATTAGAAACCCAGTATCTCAGTAACATTTACTGATGTGACAGAATGTTCTCAACTAACAATAAGTTACGTGATAAATAAACTACATAATAATATTGAGCTGATATGGGAACAGATCTATTTGACTACGGATTGGCTAACAATCGCTCTGTTATTCGCAAGTTTTCTCATTTTCACGGTGTCATGGTAACTAAACATAAACTTACTTCTGAAGAAATATGTGATAATTTGCAATGGAATTTAGAGGACGGTCTCCATCCTATTGGAGATGTCTCTCACTGGAATTAGAGCCTAAAGATTATGTTTCAAACGGCGAGGACTTATCCACTAGATTTCTCCAACTAACCAATTAAAAAAAGTATGGTTGAACAGTGTTAAATACGACAAGAGTTGTGTGTTTATGTGTTAGGAATCTAATGAAAGTCGACAATACATACTCATCAGCTGTAAGCTCGAAATTAATGATGTTTAGTAGGCAAATGATGTGTAACCACCTGACTATACTTTCTTTTTTAATAATTCATATTTCAAGTTTGATCATGAATTAATGACAGAAAACTATTGAAAACAAAGGAGTACGGACAGGCGTTTCGTCCTACCTTGGGACTCTTCACAGCAGGCACATACCAGGTTCGGAACCAAAACGCATCCCTCATATATGCACAGACTGCGAGTTACTCACGTCTGCATGCTGTAGACGACGACGACAACAACAACAACTTATTTCGTCCTTTTTATGGGACTCGGCTACCCGGGTGGTCCTGAACAACACATATTGTTTGTGTGAGTGGATAGGGGATTCTGATGGTACTATCCAGCCGCCCAAATTGAAATAGGTGAAGTTTGATTTCAGACCTGGCATTCATTGGTTAACACAATTGTACTACAATGCGACTAGACATATTCAAATATAAAAAGTCGAGAATGTTGAAGTTAATAAATTATGTACGTATATATATTTTTCCATATTTTAAAACATAAATTCATGAAATAAAGATTATCTAGATACGTAATAATAATAATAACAGTAATCATGCTTTACTTTCACAGCATCTATAAGTAGTGGCAGTATATATGCGTATGTATCACGTGTGTTTGTGGATGCAGTAGTGTGTGTATTGTATATGCATGTATGTATGTATGAGATATGCAGATATATGTGTGTATATATTAGGAAATACTTGTATATAGTATATAATAAGACAGACAAAGTAGACAATATTCACAAGTATGTTCCTTTGATAGAGAAGCTAAACAACGTACACAGAGAAAAAGATGATAATCGTAGTAGTCAGAAGAAGGAGATAAGAAAACGAGTGATGCGGATTTGGGTGGGGGAGTATACAGATAATCCTGTCTGGAGGAAATATTTATCTACCCACTTTCCCTCCATCTTATTTCTTTGCACAAAAGAATAATATTCTAAAGAGTGGGGAGAAACTACTGTACCCCCCTCTCTCTGTCTCTCTCACTCAATTCACAAATTTATTAGGCTCATGATTGATCATACAACACACTCGTCATCTTACCTACCTCTAACACTCAACTTAATTGGAATGTTCAAGGAGTATTCATTACGGGGAGCGATACGGAATTTTTAAACAGAAAAAGTTCAAATAAATAAGGATAAATAAATTAAACAAAGTTGTTCCAGTATTGAATGAGGAATGTGTGTGTGTGTGTAAGTGTATCGATATTCAATTCAACGAATGAGCATATATGCCACAATAGGAACAGTTTATATGTATAATATGACATTAGTAAAGAGGATAACAAAAGATTATATGTGTAACATTTGTTATCAGTATTATTTAAATAAAATTAATAAGGGAAGAGAGTCAGAAATACGGACAAAAAGATAAGACAAAAGGGGGGGGGGACAGTGAACATCATCGAATAGTAATAACGATAACAGTGAAAGTGTACCGAGAATATAAGAGAAGAATAAACACGAGGCATTGACGTCATGGTTAGATGGGGGGGAGGGGACTTAGAGGAGGAGGAGGAGGAAGAGGAGAAGACAGAGATGACATGTAATATTGCACTGAACTGTGAGATTTTTGCCACTGATCTAACCCGCCACTGAGGATACTAAGCACGCCTCTACCTGTTTCATTCAAAACGTATATGAATATTGAAAAGAGTGGAACTCTGTTGGTATAACGAGAACCAGTATCCCCATCCCCACCCAGCCGTCACAATAGAATGAGAACACCACCTTGACAACTCACTCATAGAATGTGTCGAATATAGTATCACACAGAGAGAGGGGAAGAGAAAAAAGTATCTGAGATATTACATAGTGTATACACTATTCGTAAGCAAGTGACTGGTTGGGAAGAGGAAAAAATACAAGAAAGGGGACTAACAAGAGATCAATGAAAATTGGTAAATAAGTAAATGTGTGCACTACAAAAATTCAAAAAAAGGAGCAGAGTTTGTGTGTGCACAGGCAGACACACACAGACACGCACACAAGGACACAAAATGACGATCAGAATTGTTTTTGATTGCTTGTATATATATATATATATATATATATATATATATATATATATATATCGATCTTGGAGAGATTACGAAATGCTTTGAAACAGTAGTTCCTTGAAGCTAGAATCGGCTATATGCGTGTGTATATTAATGGAGTGGGGACTAAATAATGAAGCGGAAACTACGGAGAAGATAGTAAGAATGCGGTGAAGTGAGATGGTGGGGGGTGGGGTAGAGGCAAAGGAAGAATTGCTTTGTCTTTTTATGTGCCACAACCATTATTTTTTGATGAGTAGAGAGACACACAGAGAGGAGTGGAATGTGAAGGCGAATCAATATTATTGAAAAGAGGAATATTTCAAAGCACAATAATAATAACAATAACAATAACAAAATTTAATCAATAAATAGGACATCGTGGTGATAATAATAATAATAACCATAATAATAATAATAATAATAATAATAATAATAATAATAATAATAATAATAATAATAATGAAGGACAGACTGTTATGGAATGTAAATAAGTGGAGGAAGCCTCTCAGAGGTGTGAAATACTTTGAAGTGTAGAAATCAATAAAGGAATGGATAAGTAATATTAGTGCTGAATGGTATAAATAAAATGCATTTCATAGTGTTTTGTAGTTATATGACAAAAAACCACACCAATAGTGCACATGTCCGTCTGTGTAGGCGTGTGTGTGTGTTAACACATGTGTAAAAAGTTTGAACAAGCAAACAAACAGTTCAATGTGGTTGAATTCGCCTATTCACTACATGATCTAGGTGAAGTCCTACTTTCTTGCCTAGTTGTACCAAGCTAACATGATCGATAATTAATAAAGAAGCAAGAGTGAAGAAATACGCATACACACACATGTTGAAAATGACAGTCCGTTAGAGGAGAGGCAGAGAGGAATGGGTTGGTGGAGGGCGATGAAGGAGAGAGAGTGAGTGAGACAACATTAATCCGGGGTAATATTTGAAGAACCTTTTCCATTGTTCTTTTTTCAGTACACGTACTTCCTCACTTTAGTACGCCGGTGGGGGGGGGGCGGATTAGCACTGACACTGACCTTGTTGTTGTTGCTGCTGTTGTTGAGGTTTATCCGTGAGTCGATTGCCTAGTTTCATTAAACAAAAAATCCGTAAAATATGATAGTGTGTGAAACAAAGCAATCATGTATAATTCAACTATTATCCACATTATAGGAATTAAATAACAACATGGACATGAGAGAAAAATGATCACCTGTCCGATAGGAACGAAAAGAAGTGATGATGCACTAATACACTGAAGTTTTATAATTGTTTAAAAGGGTGCAATTCCTAGGTTTCATGAAATAATATAATATCACAAGGAAAATAAACTCCAACATCTCCTATAGGCAGAACGACACAAATAAATACAGATACACTGGCTTTAGCACTATATTAGCTAGTGAGTGGTCCCGGGTTCGAGTGGCGCTTCAATTAATTCAACTCGAGTAACTCCCTAACCATATGTCATCAACCTTTCCTCATAGAATATGTACGGATCATGTACAACCCGATACATGAAGTTTTTTGAATATAACAGCAGTTTACATCATTATTAAGACGATATGTAAGATGGTTTTGAACTGGCAAACTGATATGGAGATGTAACAGACGTGATAACTGAAGGTAGAATTTAAAGCTAGATTGCAGTAGTATACAAATTCGTAACAGCCACCTGTGTTTATATCATTGTGCTACCTGAATTGTCACAGAGTACAGTCAATGCGTCAAATTTACTCAGTTTTTCTTTATTTTGACAGTCATCTGTTTACATCCTTCTTCAAGAACAACCTGTAAATATGTGCGCTTTTGAATGCTTTTCTCTTAGTCTGTTTTGAAGGGAGGAAACACGTGGGATCATCGTAGCCTGTTGCAGATAGAAGAAAATTTCGTCAAATGATATACTGTAGATTACTGTTATGCTTAAAGATATTGTATAGGGGAGTATACGGAAACAAGAAGAAAAGTCTGTGCTGTATATTGAAATGTTGTTCAGAATAAAACTAATATTACTACATTGACCTAATAAGTAGCACCTGAGTATGAAAGCTCAGCTGGTATAGAACAGGGTTCGCTTCCATTGTCACGTTTTCCGTATCTTTTCATACAGTGAATATCGTTGAAAAATGTTTTGGAAGAAAAGAACTAGCAACCGATTCTGATAATTTGGAAATCTGATCAAATTATAATCAAAAGCATTCAAGATTGGAGTGACAGTTTCAAAAACCCAATAAAATCCACTGAATGACTGAGTTTCTCTTTCAATACTTTCAAAACAACAGGAATTAAAATCCAATTGACTGAAATTATCTCATTTCATAGGCTCCTTTTCTTACCTAAAAAACGTGCAATCAACCACTGAGTTCAGTAAGATTACTCAATGTGAGTATGTACACACACACACACACAAACAAACAGAAACAGTGTTTTGCTTACCTTTCGATGCTCCACCTGCAACAGCTGGATTATTGTCCATGTTATCAGACATTTTATCGCATATAATATCCACTAAACGCTCGAAAACATTTCTCACATTGATATTCTCTTTAGCTGATGCCTCGAAAAATTCCAACCCTTGTTAAGGATTGCATAAAGAGTAGAAAAACAAACACTAAGGTTAGAGACATTTCATTTATGAAGACTTGCATCATTAGACTTAAAACATTCCTTTAGTATAAGATTACTGGATCAACCAACATACAAAATGTCAAATTGCACACACAATCTAATTTAGATTTAAGGTAATAATAATAATAATAAGAAGAAGAAGACGAAGAAATCGTAAACTACAAGACAAGTGAAGTTAGTGAGAATTCATATGAGCCATGAGAACTAATTCTGAAGCATTCATAATTGACGTACACTTCGACGATTTCTGAGGAATAACATCCGGAATGCACATTTCGTCCTGTTTAGGACTCAACGTCTGAATGTATTTGCAGTCACCAATGGGAACATTATTACTGACTAGAAGTGAAGGTGCATCTGATGATGAGTCCTGAACAGGATGAAATACTGGTTTACTGCAGTCCACCAAATAAAATTGGTAGGTTTAATTCAAAATTGTAAACTTTACACCATTAGGCTTAGATGTCATCAATAAAACTAACCTCACCGAAAGGTTTGGACATGTTTACACATTGTACAAAAATACAATGATACTCTTCTTGAAGTCTAACTAATCAAGTTTATTCATAAGGCAAAAAGAGAGGCATTCGCATTATTTTGAGTTCTTCAACAATTAAATCCTATTGAGTGAATCATAACACTGATAAAAATCTTTATTGTTGTAATATGAGCATTCTATTAGTTGTTGTGCTTCAGTGGCGCAGCGGTTAGGACACTCGACGACGATGCACATGGTCCGGGGTTTGATTGCCGGCCGATGCACACCTGATGTCAGTGGTCGGCCTGTTAAATTTCAGCTACCGATATCACATGCTGAAAATCCCATACTTGTACCAAAGTACTTTGGAATCAAGGTTTAATAAAAATAATAATAATAATTAAATAATAGTGGAATTTTGAGTTAGAATCACAGTAATCCCGAGATATTGTAGAGAACAGTACAGCAAACCTCACAACACATGTTCCAGTCGCTTAAAAGTAAAATCGACAAAACATCTACAAAACAGTATGTAATACAAAATCACATAAAACCAACTATATGAGGGAATTCCAATCGTAATTGGCCGTCTTCCTTCCACCTACCACCTATTTAAGTATACTGCGATGAAAGTGCGGGCATTTTCTTTCGCTACACTAATTTATATCGTCACTCATTATATTCTCACCCTGAACGTTGATGACGTGTGATGCGATTCTGTGTACAGGTGCAGAAAGTAACTTAATTCAGTTAGGGTTGGGTTTAAATCCTTCTCCACTTATTTTATCCAGAATACAATATACATATAGAAATATATCCACTAAACACCGATTACCTCAAAGATCCACAGTATTGTCTGTAGCGATGGAAAGTGGTTAATTCAACAACTTATTAGGTTGTTATAAGTTGTAAGTTAACCTCTTGAAGCAACAATTCACTCTTTCGTGGAATATCATGAATTAAGAGTAGACATTGAATCCTGTCATATAGTATATATATCGCACTTTTATCGCAGTCTTATCATTCGACTCGTGCAACTAGTCAAAGGTATGGCCTTACAATGACAAACACAGTTACTCTATATTTTACGAAATGACACTTATGTATAGAACTCTCTCATCTCAAATTACTAATGCCACAAAATATCCTCAGCCTATCTTCTCTTTCCAAAAGCATAAAAACCAAGTGCTATTGGTTTCTCTTAGATATAGAGTTCAAATATAACTCTGTTGACTCACTAGGTTATCAACCAATCTGGTGGACTTACTTTAAACGGCATGTTGCTAAGTTATTCAAAAGACATAGGTCTGATTATGAACAAACACGTATTTGGAGGCATTTATTCTAATGTACTTGATGAGTTGCGCAGCAACATGTCGATTAATTAGTCTTAGAGGCGTCCAGTTTTCTCGTCATCTTTATCATATATTTTCATTATAATAATTCTCAGAGTAAGTTTGAGTACATATACGCAAACAAACATAAGCACACACACACATTGCAATGGTCTACGTCAATAACGTTATTGATTATATGCATACATATATACACATACACTTTTTTAATCATTTGAGGTAAGAGTATTCTGGACAAAAAGAACTACAATTACCATAACAACAGAACAGTTCTGAAATTAATGAGAAAACGGTAGTACACCTTACTGATGTATATATATATATATATATATATAGCGCTGAGATCATAATCTGCTCAAACTGCTACCTTAGTGAAGAAAGTAAGGCGATTAGAATATTACTCAGTAAAAAGTTATCCAGATAAGTTCATTGACAAATATTTGAATTTACTATGAGTTACCACCAAAGCAAATCAGTGTAGCAACAGCATAAACTACTTAATTCTCCTGCCTTTAGATGTATTTACCAGTTTGACTGGTCCCATGGGCATGCAATTAGTTATGTTCATCATCGGATTTCTAAACGTCGTCATCCTCCATAGTTAAGTGAGAGACAAATAAGATCAACTCGTAGATCTATTTCAGTACACCTTCTAAATAGTGAACATGAAGTCGAAGTTAACAAAGCATTCAAAGTAATCTATCATATTCCGATTAATCTTAATTTCCTCTTAAGAGTTCATCTTATGCACATATAACTGCCGCCAATGGAATCCACCTGAAGAAGTCAGACCTGTCTGTTGAGAAAAAATTAGTGTAGCTACTTTCCTTGCATTGATTATTACTAGATGAATGTAAAAAATCCATAAACGTATTTTGATCTCAAACTAAAATTCATACTTTGAAAGGAATAAACGGCGTTGCTAAAACATTGTGATGAGATGGTATATAGTTAGGATAGACAATAGCAGTCATAAATGGCCATTGTCTCATAACATAATGAGAAAATCAGCAAATGTATCATCCATCAACAACCATCCTCCTTAATGTAAAGATTGGTTAATATATGAAGCCTAATTGATATTTCTGGTATACTCCTCTTACCTAAACAATAGAAATAGCAGAACAAAGTAGATCTGTTGAAAAGAAAAAGCCAACGCAGTGTAGACTATGTAAAGTAACTGAACAGCCTTCACGATTGCCTGATGTCAACCAAGTTTAAAAAACAGGAATAGAATCGGCAAGGCAGAGAGAGAGAGTACGGGAGAGAGGAAAAAACTTCCCTTTGATACCATAATCTACTTCCTGCACCAACTATTTATTTATTTATGGGTAAAATTTATTCACCACCTATGAATTCCTGCTAAAATTCAACTTTGTAATATAATTGTAGAGATTATCTGCACCATGTGAAGATTTTAGTGGATTTTAAACAACCCATGACACATACTGATCGAAAGTCACAAATGCACATATCAACTATTAACTTCATAAAAGTTAATCGTTGTTGTGATTTAACATGGTGGAGAGGGAGGGATGGGGGCCGTTTAATAATGTAATCGTGTGAATGTCTTTCGTCTAGTGTATGTTGCTCGTTTCTCGCCAACACAAACATCTGATACTAATTCACTAATTTCTACTTTCATTATGATCTGAAATCACCTAAAGGGATAGGTGAAAAGTGGCCATTTTTAATTCAAATACTGATTCGTAACTTTTCCAACACGATTCCATTTGAGAGATGAGGTCAGGGAAATCAAGTATTACAGACCTGACGACTTTCTTGTGCATCGGTTATTCAACGGTAGAATGTTCGCCAACCACGAACGTGATCTGGGTATGAGTCCCGTTTAGTCGGTAGCAATTCCATTAAGGGGGGGAAATGTTGGGCATGAGGCTAACAAACCCAGCCCGTAAAAACAAAACCACCGCTACTGAAACTTTAAAGCACAAGTTTAAAGTCCTAGGTTTCTCTCTCAATACAAAGAAATGAAAAAAGAAGACTTCTTTGAAATCCTTCAATTTCCCACAACACCTCCAAATGAATGTATGCCTACAGTGAAATTGAAACATACACAGCAGTAAAACAGATTTTTTTTTAAAAAAACACATCATTACAAAACTAACCACAAAGTATAAGAATAAGGGAATAAGGGCTATAAAAAAATAGGGAGATAGTGTGTTACTTAAAACCAATAATAAACATGTTTCACTAGTCTCTAATATGAGCCAAGTCATATCTCACTGAATTTCAACATGGAACTTCGCACAGAAGTGCAGAATTTCAACTTGTTACAGTCCATACATCTCGCAAAGGTAGAGATAAAGGAAATCTGAAATAAAGATAATGAGCGGAAATGTACGGGAGAAAGATTAATGAGTGGATTAATCTGGGTGATTACAAAGAGTGAACGCATCTGCGTCTATGAGAACGATTTTGAGCCAGCTCACCAACAATCTCTAGCTATTGGTTCTCACCACCACGAGGAACACACCTAGGGTAGTCTAAACTGTCAAAGACTTCATGGATTGATGAGAGGTTTTAGCTTGAGCACTCCTAACTCATTTCCAAGCTAATTCTACATCGGCTAACGTTGTCCATCGAGGAAGGTGTAATGCTCAACTTTCATGTAAGGTACACAGCTAAAAGCTCTCATTTTTCTCATAAATTTAGTCGCCCTAAATAAAAACAACAGTATGACAACTTACAGAATTTCACTGTTAATCAAATCCCAAAGATATCAACATCTGAACGTTTAATGCTTCATATACTATAACAGATTACGGGCGTATAAATTGTGGGCATTATTTACTCAGAGGTTCAACATTATGCAAAATAGGCGATGATGAGATACAATGTGATTTTCATTCTATAGCCTTCAAATGAATAGTAGTAAAACCAAGAGACCATACCACGTTGAAAACATCAGCTATCGTTCGATCAGCAAAGTTTAAGAGCCTTAGGTCCAGTTAGTACTTGCATGGATGACCGACTCCGAATGCTTCGTATTGTCAGCATTTTGTGTTGGTGGTTCAATGATAGAATGTTCGTTAACTATACATGTCGTCTGGGATTTGACTGCTGACCAACGCACTCCTAAACCTCGCTTAGCC